CGGGCTGGGGGGGCGGGGCCGGAGCTGCTTCCTTCACCCCCCTCTGCTTGCTCTGTAGCCGTAGGGCAGGGGGCCGCAGTCCAGGGGCGGGCCCAGGGGAGGGGGGCAGGTTACAGCGACCCCCCCCTCCCCGGGAACCGGCGGTGGGCGGGGCTTGAACCCCGGAAACGGTGGGGGGCCCAGGCCTGGTCCTGGACCCCTGGGCAGTGGGGGCCGGGAAGGGGCCAGTTAAAGGGCCGGGGGCGCTGGGGAGAGGCGGGGCGGTGTGGGGGGAGGGGAGCTGGGACTCGGACCCGGGACTGAGTGGGGCCCGGGCAGAAACTGAGCACCCTGCGCCCGAAGAGCCCCCGTTGGCCTGGGGGGGCTGAGGGACTGAGCCCCCCAGAGCAGGACCTCCCCCTGGAAGGGCCGCGCCGCAGCCCGTGGGAGGGCCTCGCCCCCGGCGCCCCCCATCTCCACTCGCCGCAGTCCCGGCCTCCGCCGGAGGGAGGGGCCGAGCGCCCTCGGGGGGCCGTGGACCCCGGCGTTCTGAGCGTTCCGCGCCCCGCGCCGCCCGGCCCCCCCGCCGCCGATGGCCGCCGACCCGCCGGGAGCTGCCGAGAAGGGAGAGATGGCTCCCGGGACACGTGTGAGGTGGGTTCATGCGGCTCCTCCTCACCCCCAGACCTGGGCAGCTCCCACTCCCATTCATCCTCAGCCCGGCCTCTCTCCACCTTCCCCGCCCCCAGCCTTACCCTTTCTGTGCTCCAAACTCCTCACCTCCAGCCTCCCTTCCCATTACCTCTCAACCCTGGGGAACTGGCCTTCCTAGACCCTGCTTCCCCTTGCAGACCCCCCCCATCCCCGCCTGCAGTCGCCGCCCTCCAGGCCCCTCCCCTGGAGCGCTGGAGGGCCCCTTACTCCCATGATGTGTCTGGAAGTCCCTGGAAAGGGGGAAGCTGGGGTAAGACTCTGACCAGGAAGAGACCCTCCGGGCCTTCTGAGTCCGTATGGGATCTTGGAGGATATGGTTTCCATGGGAAAGGGAGCCCAAGGGATTCTAGACAATTAGGGATGGAAAGCAGCCTGGGAAGCTGAGGGAATCTAAGACTGAGCCCGTCCTTAGTTCTGTGGAGATGTCAGGTTGGATTCTAGAATCCCAGGGAATCTGGGAGATTGCCCGGATTGACCTGACGGATCCCAGAGGAGGATCTCTTGGAGCAGAGGGAACTCTGTGGGGAACAGAGGAGTTGAGATCTTGGGCTGAGAAGGGACTCTAAAGAAGCATCTCAGGGGTGTGTCAGGGCCCCAGGAAGTTGGGGGGCAGAGTGGGTCATTAGGGTTTGGGGGACAAAGATCCTGTTGGATCTGGTAAGGATATCTAGGTTTGGGTGGAAGAGAGATTGTATGGCCATTGCGTATAAGAAAGAGGGAAAAAGAAAAGTCTGGAGCTTCCACCCAGGAATCTGTGGTATCTTGGAGGTAAATTAGGGGAGTTGTAGTTTGAGGAGAGCCTGGGGTATTCTGGCTCAGTTGGATAACAGGGGAAGAGTTGGGACCTCTCCGAGGTAACACCACAGATAAGGAGCGCCTGGCCTTCCAAGGAGCTTTGGTGTGGGGGTGTCAGGAGAGGGCCTGAGTGTCCCTTCCTCCTCCCTGCTCTAGGAAAGGGACTCTGAGGAAGTGTTAGAGGAGGAGTGAGGTCAGGAAGCCAGTTCCTAGGGCTTCCAGAGGATTCAGTTGAGCTGCAGCAGGGAGAGAGTGGCCTTGATTGAGGGAGTGGGCACACAGGAGAGGGTGACCTTGTTGTCCCCCTGAGGAGGAGAGCAAGGTCTGATCACCTACGGGTGTGGGGAGCTGCCAGAAGTCTCCGGGCTCTATCAGGCCCATCTGACCCTGCTATCATCCATCCACAGCCCTCGGCGTTGCTGACGCCCCCAATGTCGTCGAGCAGCCGGGGGCCGGGGGCCGGAGCGCGCCGACGCCGAACCCGCTGCCGTCGCTGCCGGGCCTGTGTGCGAACTGAGTGCGGGGACTGCCACTTCTGCCGAGACATGAAGAAGTTTGGGGGGCCTGGGCGCATGAAGCAGTCGTGCCTGCTCCGGCAGTGCACTGCCGTGAGTTCTGCCCCCGCTGAGTTGGGCCCCTGTCGGCTCTGCCCACCCTTCCCCAGCTGGCCCAATACCTTGCTGGGTGGCTGGTGCCTGCTTCCTGGAATGTACTGTAGAGTTGCTGTTTGTTCACTCATTAATTTCCTTCATTCATTCACTGGTTTGTTTAAATGTCTGTTTTAGTTCTCAGCTCCATGCTGGGGGCAATGTTCGAGTGCACAGAAGAATCTGACCCAGTCCCTGCCTTCAGGCTTTTCCCAGCTCTCAGGCACAAACCCATAGAATGCTTAGCCCCTACTGTACCACTCCGCAGAGGCATCTGTGCACAGGGGAACCCATCCCCAGAGCTGGCCCCCTTTGAACAGGTCTTGCCCTTCTCTGGCCTCTTCCTCACCCAGGGTGGTCTTGGATTTGAGGCTGGGCTCACCCTTTGTGTGACCTTGAGCAAATCACTTTGAGCCTCAAGTACCTTCTTGGTAAAATATTTCCTTTGCTGAGTTGTAGAGATTAAACAATAGCCTGGATGTGAATGTGCCTACCACAAGGCCCAGCACACAGTAGGTATCAGGGAAACGTGGGTTTCCGCCCTGCCTTCCTCATCCTTTGAGCAACCCTGAGCTCCAGAGAGCAGTTCTCCCCAGCAACCATGAGGAGCCAGCTGCATCCTGCATCCCGCTCCCCACACCACCGCCTCCCTCTCTTCCTCCAGCCACTCTTTCCTGGTCAGTCTCTTCAGCCCTCTGCCCCTCTTCTCTTCCTTTGATCCCAATCCCTTGCTTCACTTTGCTTTTCCTTCTTCCCATATCTTCTTCATCTTCATCCTGCAGCATCACTGGTGTGACTCAGTATTACCGTTGTCCTCCCCAGAGTCACATTGTCTGAAGTCTACTCCTGTTTTCGCCAGGACTAGCCAGTTGCCTTTAATGTTCCCAAGGGGTCTTGCTAAAACTGGGTTCATTGTGGGATTCAGAGCAACCCTTGGGCTACCCCTTGAGCAACCTCAGAATTAGCCCAAGCTGCTGCCACATCTTCTCCAGCCCTCTCTGAGTATTACTGCCACATTTGCCTGTGGTCTCTCTCCCTCCTCAAAGCTAACTTATAATTTCAGGGTCACACTGGTCCTGGATTCTGCTATAACAATTGCAGCAGTGATAACTTTGTATCAAATGATTCTCACGTATTATCTCATTCTTACAAGAGTCTTGCAAGGGAAGGATTGGTAACCCCATTTTACAGAAGCAGAAACAGAAATTTAAGAAGGTTAAATCAGTTGCTCGAGGTCATACTGCCAAAAAAGAGCAAATTCAGGATTTGACCTAGTTTGGCCCATGAGTTTTGAATCACCTCATCCAGCAGCTGGCCAGAGTCCCTAGAAGGAAGGGTCTTTCCCCTGTTGCTTGCTTTTGGGGTCCCTGATGTCCCCCTCTCCCCCAACAGCCCGTGCTCCCACACACAGCTGTGTGTCTCTTGTGTGGGGAGGCTGGGAAGGAGGACACAGTGGAGGGAGAGGAAGAGAAATTTGGTTTGAGCCTCATGGAGTGTACAATCTGCAACGAGATCGTCCACCCTGGCTGCCTGAAGGTGAAAGCCCTGGGGATCCTGGAGCCTGGGGTGGGACAGATTGTCAGGGAGCAAGGAGGTGGGGCACACAGCTCAGAGGGGTACTGGCACCCTACATCCACTCCCTGCCCTCTTGCCTACAGATGGGGAAGGCTGAGGGTGTCATCAATGCAGAGATCCCCAACTGCTGGGAGTGTCCTCGCTGCACCCAGGAAGGCCGCACCAGCAAGGTAGGGGCAGGAGCTGGGCTCTGCACCGGGCTCTGGGTAGGCAGTGGGTGGAGGAACTTTGCGGCATTTCACCCCCAGCTTCTGTCTCCCCAGGATTCAGGTGAGGGGCCAGGCCGTCGCAGGGCTGACAACGGCGAGGAGGGCGCAAGCCTGGGGAGTGGATGGAAGCTGACGGAGGAGCCGCCGCTTCCACCACCCCCGCCCAGGCGCAAGGGGCCCCTACCTGCCGGCCCCCCCCAAGAGGACGTGCCTGGGCCCCCCAAACGAAAGGAGAGGGAGGCAGGGAATGAGGCCCCCACCCCAAGGAAAAAGGTGAGCCATGGAGCATGCTCACTAGGTCCAGCTCAAGGTATTCTGGGAACTGTAGTCCTGGCCATTATTGTGGGGGGGAGACGTGGGTAGGGTCGGCCTAGGAGGCAGTGCTCCCCAGGGGTTGTTGGGAGATGTAGTTCAGGAGATGTTGGGTTGGGGAGAGGGTCGAGCATGCTCAGTGTGGAGGAGAGGTACAGGTGAGAGGGAACTAGCCCAAGCAGGAAGCTTTGGGAGCCCTGGGTGGGTTAGGGAGGAAGGAGAGAGCATGCTCAAATTAAGTGCTACAGTGGAGGAGGGGAGGGGCTGGAAAGGGCCTGAGGGAGAAGAAAGAGGAGATGAGAGCATGCTCGGTGAGCCAATGCACTGGTTGCAAGGTGAGCATGCTCAGAGTTCTCCTTGGGATGGGGACTTCTGGGATTTGTAGTCTAAGAGGGCATGGACTTTAGTTTTGTGGGCAGTGAGGGCCTAATGGGGTCTCTTCCTTCCCCCATATCTCCCTCTTGCCCTGGTAGGTGAAAGGAGGCCGAGAGAGGCACCTGAAGAAGGTGGGTGGAGACGCCTGCCTCCTCCGAGGATCGGACCCAGGCGGCCCAGGCCTTCTGCCCCCCAGGGTTCTGAATCCGAGCCAGGCTTTCTCGTCCTGCCACCCTGGGCTCCCTCCCGAGAACTGGGAGGTGTGCTGGGGATCTCCTCCCTCCCCCGCCCACCTTTCCTTGCTCCACCCTCCACTCTGTAGACAGAGTCTGTCCCTTCCTGCTCACCTTGTCCTGCCCCAGCCCACTTCGCCAAGATGGGCTCTGGACCCTTGGGGAGAGTTGGGTGGAAGAGTGGTTTGGGCCCAGGTCACAGGAGCCCCTGGCCTCCCAAGAATCCTCAGAGTATCATCTGGCCTATTTGCCTCATCTTTCCAAGCCTTAAAGGGGAAAGAACTGAGTTCAAGTTTCTGCCCAACCACTGGCACTGAACTTGTATGGTGACATCTTTGTTAGCAGCTCTGAGCCTCAGTTTCCTCATCCATAAAATGGAGATGATGCTACCTACTTTACCTACCTATCCCATAGTACTATATAAATCTAACGAGGTAATGAAAGTAAATGAACTTTGTAAGCTATAAAATGTACCTGGATTCAAGAGAAGTAAGGCCCAGAGAGGTTTAAAGACTTGTCCAAGGTCACACAGCAAAGCCAGAATCCAGATATTACTTTGCACTGACACACTAAACACAAAAATCTACCTGATTGTGTTTAAATCCTGTGTCTGCCATCTGTCAGTTTATAACCTAGGGCAAATTACTTAGTATCCTTCAGCTTCAGTTTTCTCATGTCTAAAAAGAGTGGGGTGGCCCAAGTTGCCACTACATTAGAATACTATGAGGACAGAGTGAGTCAGCAAGTGTGGGGTACTCCACACAGGGCCAGACGATTGTTGTTACTCTCATGTTGTTGACTAGACACTCAGAATTATCTAGTCCAGCTGTTCCAAGTCATGGATGATGATGCAGGGACTTCTCAGCTCATGCAGAGAGTTGACAGGCAAGCCAATACTCAAAACTTGGTCTCTAACCATTCTTCATATCTTACTGTTTTTGGAACTTTATAAGCCATTGAAACCCATAAGCTTTAAATTCTTTGAAATAGTTCCTTTATGTTGCAGATAAGGAAGTTCAAGTCCAGAGAGAGGCAGTGAGTTGGCTGAAGTCTCACATTGTTTAGGAGCAGAACCAGGGCTGGAACTCAGGACTGTCCCTTGGGCTATTCATCCCCTGGTGACTTCTCAGGGGTAGGGGTGTGGGAAAGTGTGTCCCAGGCCCTCGAATAGCCTCACCCTGTCTCCCTGCAGAAACCAAAGCCGCCATTGGCTTCTGCTGAGGGCCCGGCGGTACCATCCCCTTCACCACAGAGGGAGAAGCTAGAGCGTTTCAAGCGGATGTGCCAGCTGCTGGAGCGGGTGCCTGACACCTCCTCTTCCTCCTCGGACTCGGACTCCGACTCCGACTCATCAGGCACATCGCTGAGTGAGGATGAGGCCCCTGGCGAGGCCCGGAATGGGCGACGGCCAGCCCGGGGCAGCTCTGGCGAGAAGGAGAACCGTGGGGGGCGGCGGGCTGTGCGCCCTGGCAGCGGGGGGCCCCTGCTCAGCTGGCCCCTGGGCCCCGCCCCACCACCCCGGCCTCCACAGCTGGAACGACATGTGGTGCGGCCCCCACCTCGAAGCCCTGAGCCTGACACGCTGCCTTTGGCTGCTGGATCCGATCACCCCTTGCCCCGGGCTGCCTGGCTTCGTGTCTTCCAGCACCTCGGGCCCCGAGAGCTGTGCATCTGCATGCGAGTCTGCCGGACTTGGAGCCGCTGGTGAGTGGCCTGGACAGGCCTGAGTTCCACTGCCAACTTGCTTTTCACTTGCTGTGTGACCTGCAATAGGTCTCTGACCCTCCCTGGGCATCTTGTTTTGTATTGGTGATACGTCTACAGTACGGACATATTGTAGCACGGCGCTTCCATATTTACCATGCACAAGCTGCTTCCCATTTATGAGTTCATTTAACCTTCTCAACAAGTCTCTGAAGCTGAGGCCCAAGGTCATATGGAGAGGAATTGGTAGAACCAGGAATGTGAACCCTCTGGTTCCAGAATCTTTACTCTTAATAATAGCTAGTATTTGTTGAGTGTTTAGTATGTGCTAAGCATAGTGTTTAGAGTGTGGCAAGCATAGTGCTAAGTGCGGTGATGCATCACCTCACTTTTCACAGTGCCACTTCTGAAGGCAGTTTGATTATTGGTCCCATTGGCACAGCAGAAAGCTGTTTGTTGGGTAGCCCCTGCCCTCGCAAAGGCAGCCATGCTTGGACCTCCTGACTCTGCTCATAGCTTCCTTCTTTACCTGAACCACCATGAGCACCCTCTGCCCATCCTCCTCCCTCCCACCCCATCCACCTCCTAAGCCTTGTTCAAAAATGTCGGTCATCCTCCCAAGCCTCTTGTCTTCCTCTCTGATCCCGCCCCCAGCACAATTCCTCCTCCTCTCCATCAAACTCCCACAGCACCCTGTTCCCCTGCTGGAGCACACAGAGACCTTCTGTGTGTTGACAAGCCTCTGTTCGTTTACTCATTTTTGTGTTCCCATCACTTGCTAGGGTGGGGGCAGATATCGTGTCTGTTTTATCTTCCCGTCCCTTCCTGGACAAAGGGCAGCGTAGGTGCTCAAGAAATGTGTTCCTAAATTAGTAAATTCAGGCTCTTTCCCAGGTACTCGCTGTGGGACAGGCATGCTGTTGAGCACTTCACAAATGTTAGCTGGTTGGTTTTTCATGATAGCAGCCCTGTGAGGGAATGAGTGACACCTGAAGACACAGTGCAAGTTAGTGGCCGAACTCAAACGCAGTCTGCTTCCTCTGGGATGAGGTCTAGGGTGCTCGTGCGTGCTTCCTGTTCTCTGCAGCGACTAGGGAGCCGAGAGCGCCAGAGTGCAGGCTCTGTGGGCAGATTGCCTGTGGCTAACTCTTATTCTTCTTCGGATGAGCCGTGTGCCACTGTGTGCCAGTTGCGTGACTTCCTTTGCCTCAGTTTCCTCATCTGGAAAACCAGGATAATCGAAGAAGCTTTTACTGCATAGTGTTTTTGTGAACTAATATACATAAAAGAACTGAGCACAGTACCTGGGAAATAGGAACAGCTCAGTGCCTTAACTGTAATCGTCATTGTTTACTCAGTTACAAATATTTACTGAAATCACAGACTTTTAGTCCTCAGAGCATAGATCTGTGCCCTTGAAGAGCGCCCAAGCGCCTAGTCAGCCTGCAACATAGAAACAAATAGTTGCGGAAGTTGCTGGGGGTTACCACTCCTGCTCATATATTAACTGAGAAAGTGTTTACTGAGGCCCCTTCAAGGCCAGCTCTGTGCTTGACACGTGGGATCCAGAACTGAAAAGGACTGGATTTGTGCCACACAGAGAGACTTGTGACCGGAGTGGACGACGTCAAGAGGTTCCAGCCTGGGCCCTGGAATCTGGCATCCCTGGGTTCATCAACTGTGGTTCCTGCACTTTCTGGCTATGTGGCCGTGGGTGGATAGCTGTATCTCTCAAGGTCTTTGTTTTCTCACCTGTGGTCAAGGATTCGTTTTAATAATAACCTTACAGGAATTAAATGAGGTGATTCTTGCAAAGCACTTAGCACAGTGCCTGAAGGGTACTAAACACTCAATAAAACGGTGCCTTTCAATGAAAAGGAGAAGGGTAGGACAGAGCAGGGGTCTGACGGGGGTGAGGGTACAATGGGACCAGTGAGGAGGCTCTACCAGGTCTGCCCACAGAAGCAGGGGCAGTGGGGAGGGATTCGGGCTGAGAGCTTTTTAAGAACCGGAATGGCTTGGACTTGGTGACTAATCGGCTGTGGGGGCAGCAGGGTAATGTTCAGCAGAGTTTCTGGCCCAGGAGCCTGGATGGGCAACAGGGCCATTTCCCAAGCTCAGGAATGATGGGCGGGGGAGCAGGTGCCAGGGCAAAGGAAAGAGCTCACATTTGACATGTGTGGTCTGAAAGGCCTGTGGGCTAGTCACATGGAGCTGGGACAGCAGCTCTGAGCTAAAGGGAAAGATACAAGTTTGGGAGTTTTCAAGCTTTAGGTAGCAACTTTGATGAAGAGGGCAGAAGACAGAATGTCAGTGTTTGTGAGTTAGAGAAAGAGCAGCCAGAGAAACTGGAGGAGATCAAGGATAGATAGAGGTGTGCCCTAGAGGAGAGAGACTGAGGGAGAACAAACGGTGAGCAGAGGTGGATGTTGGCCAGCGGTTATGGGAGATCAGGACCAGGAAGGGGCAGTTGGATTGTGCTACAAAGAGGCCTTGGTAGCCTTGGCTGTGCTTTGAGGGTGGGAGGGGGGGGGTAAAGCCAGACAATATGGCACTGAGGACATCATCTCCGAGGCAGGGACTCGGTCTATTTGTTCCTGCTGTGTCCCTAGTTCCTAGGATGGTACCTGGCATAGAGTAGGTACTGAAGAGATACTTGTTGTATGAATGAATGAAAGTGAGGAAATCAGGATGGAGTGTGGAAGAAGTGGTAGAGGGTGGAGCTGGAGAAAAGTCTGTAGGTGGGAAAGCAGGAAGTTACAGGCTTTCCTGTCTGGTGGCTTCCATCTTGGAACTGGGAAGTGAAGTGATCCCTCAAGAGCCAGTGAAGAGAGGGCGGGCAGGGGCAGCACGGGGAGTTGCTGAGTTGCAAGGAAGAGAGTATGGGCTTTCAAGTTTGGGCAGAGAGGGTAGCAAGGAAGGATCTGGAACACAGGGCCAGGGTCAGGTGTGGTTGGGAGTAAAAGCTAGGAGATGGACAGGTTAGAGGACAGTGGTGGCATCAGAGAGCTCTGAGAGGGAAGAACTTGCTGTGTTTGGAGCCCAGGAGGCAGGGAGCAGTTAGGGGTGGTCCACCTGTATCCCCAAGGGCTTCTGCAAGAAGGATAGAGTTTTGCAGGCCATGATTCATTCAGGGGTTGCTGGAGTCAAGGAAAAAGTGAATGGGTTAGGGAACTTGGACATCAAGCCCTGCCTCTCTAGGACGATGGCATGCCTTGGCTCCTCCTGCCTCCTGCCTCAGTGTCATTCCCATTTAGAAAGAACCTGTCTGTGTCGGGCACGGTGGCTTGTGCCTGTCATCCCAGCAACTTGGGAGGCTGAGGCAGGAGGATCGCTTAAGCCTAGGAGTGCGAGACAAGCCTGGCCAACACAGCCAGACTCTATCACTGAAAAGAAAGAGTGAACCCCTTTGTTCTCCCTGTTGCCCTCACAAGAAACTCCCACAGTCCCATTGGATGTTGGGCATGAACTGGAACCACTTCCCCTGTACTAGCTCCCTTCATCATCATGGCAACCTTTGAAGTGAGTGCTATCTTTCACACCATTTTGTGGTTTGGGAAACGAAGGCCCAGAAAAGTCAAGTGACTTGCCTAAGGTCACCCAAAGCATGGAGCTGGCATAGCTGAGATTGAGATCCCCACCCATCATACTCTGCCTCTGGGCTCTGTGACTGTGACAGCCCATGGCCTAGCATTCTATCCCTCCTTGACATGACACCCCTAACTTGGGCCTCCTCTGCAGCCTTGCCCCTGCCTCTTCCCTTCTCTGAGTTCAAGCTCTGCATCCAGACCGGCTTGGTTTAAACCATGGCTCTGCCACCAGTTGGTTGTGGGACCTTGAACAAGTTTCTTAACTTCTCTGGGCCTCATTTTCCTTAACTGTAAAAAGGGGATGATGATAATATTTACCTCCTAGGGCTGTTGTGAGGTTAAATCCTTAATGCATAGAACAGTACTTAGCACATAGTAAACACTAGGTATTAGTGCTGTAGTCATCATCACCAGCATCATTATTCTCATTATTACAATGAGATGATGAATTGCCCTTTGTTCCTGCTGCCTAAAGTTCCCAGAGCTCTCCATTTTGTTTCTCTCTGCTGGGCCTAGATACAAGTTCTTCACCATCTGGAATGCACACCCTGTTCCTCCCCTTCCTTTGCTGGAATAACTGTTGCTTTCCTCAAGGTCTCAGTTCAGGCATTGTCTCCCCAAGAAGCTGCCTATCCCAGTCCTTGAGTTGACTCTTACCATGTCCCCTATGGCCTCTGCTGTGGACTGTTTGTGTCTCCCCCGATTGTGTAGCCTGCTCCGCACCCAGTGGAAGCTGGACACTTGGTGTCAGCAGGGCTCTCAGTGACTGTTGGCTGCCCCTCTGACATTTAATCCCAGTGTCCAGCAACAGGACTGACTAGCTCTAGCCAAGAAAGGGTCAGGGGAGACTTCCTGGAAGAGGAGGCACTAGAGATGAGCCTGGAAGGATCTCGGTTGATTGGCATTTCTGGCAGAGGCACAGCATGTGCCAAAACATGTTGGCACCAGACAGCATTGGGTGTCTCTAGGTGGGCAGGTGGTTTGGCCTGGCTTTTGTGGAGTATAGAAACACAATTGGGGGCCTGTAGGTGCCCCCAAGGAAAGGGGCTCCCCTCCAGCTGTGAGCAGTGGAAAGCTTCAAGGAAGTGGTGGCAGTTGAGCTGGGACTCAATGCTGAGTCAGAGTGGGCACCAAGAGGATTTGGATGGAGCACGATTTCACTGATGGGAAAGAGAAAAAGGGCAGGACCTAGGGGCAGAAGCTGGGTTGAGGGTGAGTTGGGTTTTTTTCTTTTAGTTTTTCAAATTAGAGAGATTTGCAGATATTTATTGGTTGAGTGGAAGGAATCAGGAGAGGGAGAGGCTGGAATGCCAGAAGGGCAGGGTGTGGGTTGGGGGTGGTGGGGGCAGCAGGAGGATGGGGAGCAGAGGGTGGAGTTGCTCTGATTGAAGCCTTGGTGTCCCTAAAATGTCACAGTCATGCCAGGCCTCTGGAGTATGCCTTGCAGTTTTCAATGACACAAACACATAGCTTAATCCTTCTGTTAGTTTTGAAAAGGAAGTCTCCATTGGGTGCTTTTTATCTGTAACACTTCTCTAATACTTATCTCCCTGTTTAACAAAAGCAGTCTTTAGGTGGTAGCCTAAAGCCACAGCAACACCTGGCTAGAATTTAATAACCCTGGTCTGTTTTTTATTGTGCTTGTTTTTAAGGTTAACACATTTATGTGAAACAATACTGGTTCTAAGTGCAAAGGGGATGATTCAAAGCTAAATTCGTGTTCTGGAGATAACTGGACAGCAAATGACTGGGGCTTGGGAATCACGGCTCCAGCCTGGGGCTTCTTGAGGGAAAGCCCTTCAGAGGCCTGAGGGGTGAGTGGGAGGTAGGATATAGTTTCCAGGGCCCGCCCCACCCAGTTGCTTCTGACACAGTCCATCTTGTCTCAAAGGCAGTTCCTGACATGCCTTATGAGAACTACTGAACTACAAGAGAGTTCTCAAACTGAGTCCAAAGAGACTTTAGTGTACCCAAAGTGTTAATAGAGTACCTTGGGAGAAGTATGGAAGGGTTCCCTGGTGAAAAGGTTTGGGAAGGCCTTCTCCAGTTCACTGTCCTTGGAGTGCTGAGGTCAGGAAACCCATTTAACTTTGTTCAGGCCTCAGTCATCTTTGTAGCTTCAATAGCTGGGACCTACCAGGCCTTGCAGAAACATTGAGTGAATTAATGAAAAGCTATAAATGAAGTGGTGGGGGAGTGCTCAGTGGCAGCTTTCAACAGTTACTGGCTTGATTCATTCAACAAACGTGCAGCAAATAACTCCCTTTGCGCCTGGCAGTGTATTAGATCCTGGGGATACAAAAATGAAAAAGACAAATCTGCCCTGTGGAACTTACATTCTAGTTGGAGGAACACACCAGGCAAGTAAAGAGAGAAAATACCAGGGCCACGAGTCCAGCTTGGGCAGCTGGCCGTCAGGATGTGGTAAAGGCAGAGGTTAGGAGAGAAGTGCCTGTGAGCCGCCGTAATTCAGTGAGGAGAGGTTGAAAGGCCCCAGAGGGGTGGGGGTGGGGGGCTACTGATAATGCCAGTCCCTTGGCATCACATCAAATAGTGTATGTGTTGTTTGTGTGTGTATTTGGCAACATGCTTTATAAGCTGTAATGCCCACAAACTGTAATTACCTCATTTGATATTACGGCTGCCCTGTGGGCCAGGCACAGTCTGGATCATTATCTTGATTTTATATGTGAGGCCTTTGAGGCTCAGGGAGAGGAATGGACTTGCCCAGGGTCTCGCATGCAGTTAGTGATGGAGGTGGGTCCTAAACCCAGGCTCTTGGCCAGGGCCCGTTTCATGCCATCCTGTGCTGGGTGGGCGGCGAGAGAGCTGGGGTGAACTGCGGGAGCGAGGGCAGTGTGGGCTCCCCGAGAGCTGAGGTCTCTGTCTCCACCTTGTGGCTGGCAGGTGCTATGACAAGCGTCTGTGGCCTCGAATGGACCTAAGCCGGCGGAAGTCACTGACCCCGCCCATGCTCAGTGGTGTGGTTCGACGCCAGCCCCGTGCCCTAGACCTCAGCTGGACAGGTGTCTCCAAGAAGCAGCTCATGTGGCTTCTGAACCGACTACAAGGTAGGGCAGGGTGGTGAGCGGGACAGGGTACGGACAGGACCAGGCCTGAGATGGAGTCATCCCAGCACCTGCTTCCTGGAACCCCTCCACCCCCTCCCCAGGCCTGCAGGAACTGGTGCTCTCCGGCTGCTCCTGGCTCTCCGTTTCTGCCCTGGGCTCAGCCCCACTGCCAGCCCTGCGGCTCCTGGACCTCCGCTGGATTGAGGATGTTAAAGACTCCCAGCTCCGCGAGCTGCTACTGCCTCCACCAGACACCAAACCAGGTGTGGCCTCTGTTTGCTCATCTGTAGAATGGGTTGGACAAAGGTGGGGGTATGAGGCCTCTAAGGTCTCTTCTGACTCATGATGGGTGTTAAAAGGATTTGAAGAAAGGAAAAAACACATTACTTTGAATAGGAAGGCCCTGGTTCGCCATTATTCACTAATTCACCCACCTGCTGTGCGCTTTGGAATGAGTCCCAGAAGGGATAGGGTTTTCACAGGGACTGTGAGACACAGCAGCTTGGTGGGGAATACTGGCAGAGGGAGGTGCTGGGAGCAGAGGCCTGGTCACCTTGGGGGTCACATGGAGCTGGGGGTAGGGCACCCTGTGCTCTAAATTCACATTGCTCCCCAGTGCTCTTTGGATGAAGACCAATAATTTACCACAGTCGCTGAGGCCCAGCATGGTCTGGCTGCCACTGTCCTGTGCCATCCCTGCATTTCAGCCACCTCCGCCTCCTTGCCAAGTTCCCTCCAGCCCCAAGGCCTTTGCCCACTCTTGCCTTGCATGCTCTATCTTCCTTCATCTCATTAACACCTAATCATACTTCAGGCCTCAGCAGAAATGCTGCTTCCTCCTAGAAGCCCTCCCTGATTCTCCCCTCCATTGAGCTGAGTCCCTCTCAGCTTTGAGCGCAGTCCCCTCCCGGCATAATACTATATAACTGTGAAGGGCTTTGATTAAGATCTGTTCCCTCCCACTAGGGATCTTAGGCTCCCTGAGGGCAAGGACTGTCTGCTCACCCCAGCACTGTGATTGGAGGTGTGCTCAGTAAATATCTGTTGAATGAATAAATTCAATGAGCAAAACAATCAGGGTGGAAGGAAGAGATCTAGTTGAGGAAAGATTTCCAAAAGGAGATTTGCTGGGCTCTGAAATAAGAGTAAAAGAGCCTTCCCTTTCAGAGTTCTTTCACAGCTCTCTCTCTCAAGGCGCCCTTCTTCCTGCCCACCCCACTTCACAGCAGCCCTGAAGAGGGAGTAGAGAAGCAACAAGGATTCTTCCCATTTTCTGGATGAGGCACTAGGGCCCAGAGGGGGTTGACTGACTGCTGCAAGTCACACAGGCACAGCCAGGCCAGAGAACTTGCCCATCGTGCACTCTTACTGGAATGAGACCGAGCTGGAAAGCTTTGGGTGGCGTGATGTGGGCACTGGGAATGGTGCATGCCACGAGGTGAGAAAGTGCTGGCAGACTGACCCCATCTCCTGCCTGCATTCATTCCAGTTCAGGCCCTTTCTCAGGAGCTTGCAAAGATGAGCCTTCTTGGCCCTCAGGGCCTGTTATGCATGTTAGGACTTTACACCCAACTTTCCTGCCGTGGTTCCCTGGCTTCATGCAGCATTCCCAAAGCAAAATTTAAGTTCTACTTCTTTGCTTTTGTGCTCTGCCTGGTGTGTTCTTCTCCCACCTTGCTACATATTCAAACCCTTGAAGGCCCAGCCTTAAATGCCACTATCTCAGTGACATGCTCACTAATGCACTTCCCCTACCCAAGCCAGAAGTGACCTCTTTTACCTCTGCTTTGCTCTAATGGCCTTTAGCTATGGCCCAAGGTTTAGGAGATCTGTAAATGTAACCCCTGTCCAGGCTCTTAGCCCCTCAAAGACAGGAGGAGGGGGTAGAATTCAGGGCATGCCAAATCGGGTGCCCACAGAGGTGGGCTGGCAGGCAGTAGAAGTGATGCCCTGGTGCAGGATTTTAGGGAACGGCACCTAGCAGCCCAGCTCCTGCCAATCATTGTCAGCGGGAAGGTATAGCCCAGTGTTGCCAGATCTTATAATTTTTTAAGGGAAAGCTTGGTATCTAAGTTTCTTTTAAAGTATCCTTTTTGTAGTGTTAGTCATCAATTAAAGAAAATTTTTAGTACTATGCAGACTCCATAAAACACTTTTGGAGGCTAGTTTCATGAGTTTGTGACATTTGATCTAGTTTATCTCAGGGCTAGGCTGGTGCCTGGGAGGCAGATAGCATTGTGGTAAGAGTTTAGACTCAGAGTCACCAGACCTGGGTTTCCTGGCTCTGTTACTTCATAATTATGTAATCTTGGACAGATTGCTTTGGGCCTCAATTTTCTCATCTGTAAACAGGAATTATGATCAGAGAAAGCTGTGGTTCTCAAAGTGTGGTCTCCAGACCAGCAGTGTCAACATCACTGGAGAACTTGTTAGAAAAGTAAACTCTGAGGCCCCCACTGTACACCTACCTAACCTCTGGGGTTGGGGCCAGTAATCCCTTTTCACCAGCTTTCCAGGGGATTCTGAAACTTCTGTAGTTTGAGAGCCAGTGGCATAAAAGAAAGGCAGACCATGTGCTTTGGGTGCAAAGATGAGGGGTGTGAGCTCTTTGACCTTGGAGGTGGGGAAAGAGGAGTCCTCTGAGCTCAGATATGAAAGCCAGGGACACTGGCCAGGCAGAGTTTCTCAGGCAGGGCCAATTCCAGAATTTGGCCTAGGTAGTGTTTGGAAGTAGGGGAGAGGAGTTAAAAGTTGAAACTTTGTAAGAATTAGAATGTTCTACCAAGGACACCGAACTTCTTTGAGGTGCCCTCAGAGAGTTTTTAGCAGAGGACAGATGTTGTCTCATTAGTGTTTAAGCACGGCTCTCTGTGGGTGCCAGGAAGAAGAGGAGAAATTGGAGTGAGTGAGGTGGTTGAGCCAGGAGTTCATGCAAGAGTGTTGTTGACCCAGAGTGGTGACTAGGAAGAATGGAGAAGCTCCAGCTGGGGACATAATAATCGTGGAGAGGGAAGTAGGAGAAGGGCCTAGGATGGTAGTTCCTTAGGGATGTCATGCTTTGGATGAATGAATGAGTATATCTAAAGCACCTACTGTGTCTCAGTTCCTGGGGCTAGAACAATGAATAACACAGACAAAAATTCCTACATTCATGGAACTGACATTCTGATGAGGAAAGAGAAAGATTAATAAGAAAAAAATGTATATAACAAGTAAAATGGTGAGAAAAGGGAAAAAATAGTGCAGGGAAGAGGTAGGAGTGTGTGGAATGTTATGTAGTTTCACGTAATCGTGGAGGGCCTCACTGAGGAGGTGATATTAGCAATAGACAGACGAGGTTAGGTCAGGTCATGAAGGTGTTTGCAGAGAGTGCAGCAAGTTGGGGCTCCCTTACGGTCAGAGCAGGTTGGAGAGCGGATAGTGAGGAATATGGTGAGGAATATGGGCATGGAGATGCAGCTGGCCTGGGTGCCTGGATGCAGGGATGAGGGTAGCCAGGAATACTGACCTCTTATCTGCCTGCCCAGGGCAAACCGAGAGCCGTGGGCGGCTGCAGGGGGTGGCAGAACTGCGCTTGGCAGGCCTGGAGCTCACAGATGCCTCCCTGCGGCTCCTACTGCGACACGCACCCCAGCTAAGCGCCCTGGACCTGAGCCACTGCGCCCACGTTGGGGACCCCAGTGTTCACCTCCTCACAGCGCCCACATCCCCACTCCGGGAGACCCTGGTACACCTCAATCTTGCTGGTAAGCACAGTCCCCTCTCCATCCTGCTAGCCTGTTGGTCCCCATGGTGAGTGCCTACCCCCTATTCATGTGCCTGGTCTCAGCTGCCACTGCCCCATCCCCAGGTTGCCACCGCCTCACGGACCACTGCCTCCCGCTGTTCCGCCGCTGCCCACGTCTACGCCGCCTAGACCTGCGCTCCTGCCGCCAGCTCTCACCTGAAGCTTGTGCCCGGCTGGCAGCCGCCGGGCCCCCTGGCCCCTTCCGCTGCCCAGAGGAGAAGCTCCTTCTCAAGGACAGCTAGTGGGGTGCCCCCCACCCTCCCCCAGGACTTATCAGGAGCCTGGACCTCCGGCCTTCATTTCACCCCTGCTGGGAGGCCAGGTTACCCACCTCATGACTTGGGATTCCTGAGTTTAATGACTTGGGATTCCTGCCTAGGGACTCAAGCCAGCCTCCCTCTTCTCTTCCCCCTGCACTGATATCTCTGGGGGTTTCTCCTTCCCATCTCCTCCCCCTTCCACCTGCTTCATTGTCCATCCCCTGGGGGGAGTGGGTCAGAGGTACTGGGGGGTGCTGAGCCAAAGGGATGGTGGGAGGGGGGTTAAGGTGCAAGTTTGAGGGAGGGAGAATGGGGAAAGAGTATCTGCACACAGGATACTGGGAGCTGGGGCTGGGGGAGGTGGAGGACGGGTGGGGGGAGGGGGCAGAAAGCAGACCACCAAGGGTTCAGGGAACAAAGACCAGATACTTGGAGTGGGGGGGTGGGGTGGGGGGGCCAAAAAGGGAAACCAGAGGAGCAGTTGGGGATCCAGGTGTCAGAGGTAGGGAGACTCGGGGAGCCAGGGGAAAGCCAGGGCTGAGTGGGGGGTGGGGGACAAAAGCAGGTGTGGGGCAGTAGTACCCCCTTGAAGGGGTCACCCCTCTCCTTTCCCCCTCCCCAGATTTCAGTTCCTTCCCCCTGACCCTGACTCCTTGAACGTCACTGAAAATGGCAGCTATTGCAAGGAGTGGGGGCCACGGGCCTACCTGCTGTTCTGCTCGTGGCCCAGGGGAGTGGTGAGGGGTACCCCAGGCCCCTGCCTGCCTCTCCGCACAATACTTGAACATTCATCTGTACTGAAGTGTTACTTGAACCGGGGGAACCTCGGACCTGGGGGAGCCGGAGTGTGAGGGGACACGACCAGCTTGGACTGAGACTGGACTGGTGGGCACCCAGTTTGGACTGCGCCATCCGCCGGCTCTCTTGCTTTACTGTATCGAGCAGCTCCACCTGAGTTGGGGGTGGGGGGTGCCAGCCCATTGATGGGGAAGATGGGACTCCTCCAGCTTGGCTCTTCCCACTCTTTCATCGTCATGGAAACTTGTATCCCATTTGCCCAGGGAACTGCCACTCCTGGTTGCCATGGAAATAGCAGCCAATGGACACCTCCTGATGCCAGTGCTAAGGCTGGAAATCACCCCTCTTAGTTGCCATGGGAACTAAATAACAGACTCTTGGCCTTTCGCCCCTTCCTCTGGTGTGGGGGCGGAGCTTCAGGACCAGAAGGAGGAGTCGGGGCTGGGTACCGCCCCTCACCCCGGGCTTCCCGGGGGAGCCGGGTTGTACCATGTAAGGGAAGGGGGGATCTATCCACATACCTCAGGTAACAGGGAGGTGCGCGGGGTGGGGGGAGGGACTGGGCGGACCAAAGGCCGGAGAGGAGGGGCGGCTGGGGATCGCGAAAGGCTTGAGGTTGGGGCGTCTTGGGGGAGTGGAGGAGGCAGCCCGGCGAGGGGCAGGTGGGGGACCCAGCCGGGCTGGGCCCCTGGGCCCCGGGTCTGTACAATACGGTTTGCTATAAAACTCAAAATCTTCCAGCCGGGGCGGCGGAGTGCGTGTGTCTGTCTGCGGTGCCTGGATTCCCGGGGACGCGGGTTAAGGCACGGATGGCCGCTGGGCTCACTCCTTGGGGCTCTCGGAAGAGGGGACTCTTTGGATAGATCCGCGGGGGCCCCGGCGGTCCCTGCAGATGAATGAGCTCACCTTTTCTGGGTTTACTATTTTGAGAGGGTTTGGAAGTCTGGACACCTGAGAGGGGTCTGGGGTCTGGGAATTCCCAGTCACTGGCTGGACGCCTGGATGGTGTTCTTGATGGACTGGGGTCGCGAGGTCCCTCGGGTTCTCAGCCTAGGGGCCAGGGACTGCGGAGGCTTGGTCCCCTGGCTCCACCCCATCATGTGGCCGCCCCAGCTCCGCCTCTGCCCCAGTTCCTGTTTCGGCCTCTGCTGTACCTCTTCGGCCCCTGGGGCTCCCCGCAGACGCCTGCTCTTCCTGCTGCGCTGGGGCCGCTCTTCCTGGCCGCCTGCCGCCCGCATCCGCGCTCACCCCGCCGGGGCATGGGGCCTCCCCCCGGCTTGGGCCGGCCCTTCTGGGGCCCCCGAGGTGCTTCGGCCCCGCCGTGACCAACCGGCCCGCCTGGTGCTGCCGTCTCCAGGATGAAGGGCAGCGAGGGGGACGCGGGCGAACAGGCCCCGCTGAACCCGGAGGCCGAGAGCCCTGCGGGTTCGGCCACGTACCGCGAGTTCGTGCACCGCGGCTATCTGGACCTCATGGGGGCCAGTCAGCACTCGCTGCGGGCGCTCAGCTGGCGCCGCCTCTACCTCAGCCGGGCCAAGCTCAAAGCCTCCAGCCGCACGTCTGCGCTGCTCTCGGGCTTCGCCATGGTGAGGGGCGGGAAGGGGGCACACAGGGTGGGGGGGAAGCACGCGGGGGGCACGGGGTTGTGCGTGAAGTGAACGAGTCCCAAAGAGGGCAGAGGAAAGGGAAAATTGTTTTGGGGGGCGGGAAACAAGGTACCAAGGGACTGAAGAAGTTTCTTTTTATGGGGGGGGTTTAAACATGGCCCTATGAATATACACAGGGCCATGGGGAAGAAAAACAAGTCCCAAAGGTGTCATGAGGGAAAGGGTAAACCAATCACCGATGGGGATGAGTAGGCAACCGTGGGGCAAAGTGGTCCAAAAGGAGCATACTCCTGGCAGGATGGCTACTAAGTACCTCAGAGGTTCAAAGGCAAATCAGCTGCGTGGGATCTGTATCAAGGTGGGTGGTGCGGTCAGGGAGAATAAACTGGATGAAAGGTGGGCCCATCCCAAGGAAGGTGGCTACTCCCCAGCAGGCACAAAAGGTGCTAGTGTCACCCAGGAGAACTTTGAGAAGAGATGTGCCTGTGAGGGAGGCGCTGGGGAAGGAAGCTGATTAGGAAGCTGGTAAGTGATTCTCAAGCTGATAAGCTGCAGGTGTGGGAGGATAACACCAGCTAACGGTCCCAGCAGTGGTATCACAGGAAGTAGGACTGAGGGAAGTCCCAGGGTTTCCCCACCATCATCACAGGAAGAAGGAGAAAGGCTGGAGGGGGACACTTTTGGGAACATGCTCCTGTAGGGGCAAATATCAGAGGCAGCTAATGTGGGAGTCATAGTACAACAGGTGATCTGGGTTAGTCCCTGCCCCTTTCTGTGCCACAGCCTCTGTATGTGAAAGATACATCTCCTGAGAAGGATGAGCGCACAGAATAGCCTAATTTATTGTATCGTTTCCTGTGGTTTGACTACGATATCCCCTTCCAGAGGCTGGAAGGGTAGGTTCTAGGGGCAGGACTGGTCCTGGCCCTAGCAGGGGAGAGCAAGGCTGGGCCAGGCTGTGGGAGAAACCAGGACTAAGCCTGGCCCAGATCCCTGTCTGTGGAAAACACCTGCTGACACCTGCCATGGCCCAATTTCCCAAAATACTCAGCCTGTTTTCCTACCTCCACTGGCCAGGCTCTGCAACTTCCTTCTCCTTTCCCCAGCCCCAGAGCAATCTAATGGATCCCACAAGAACCAGGGATGGGGAAAGATCCAGATTCTGAAACCCAGATGGCCAGAGTTATAATAATATTACACAAATTGTATTCAGCTGTCACTAAGTACCAGGCCCTGTGCTCAGGACCTTTATGTGCCCCATCTTTCTATCACTCTATGAAGTAGGTATCACTACTATGGCCACTTTACAGATGAGAAAACTGAGGATCAGAGATGTTAAGACACCTGCCCAAGGTCCCAAAGCAATTAAGTGGCAAGATTTGAACTTAAGCAGTCTGGTTCTAGAGTCCAAATTTATACATTCCTAGAAGAGGGTCATCAGCTCAAATGTCTGCAAAGGCCAGGTAGGTCATATGGATGCCAAGTTGGCTGGGTGGGGCTGGCGATCAAGAGACCCCATGACCTGTCCAAAGGAAGCAACCATGACTCAACTCTAGCTGACAGCTGTCACGCAGGAATGTTGGCCTAGTGTGACCAGATCTTCCAAGTTTTCAAAAGGATCTGGAAATAGGGATATATGAATTCTCTTGTTTTAAAAGATAGCAACTTGTTCAGTTTTTTAAAAAACGCACTGCAAGGCTGTGCACGGTGGCTCACACCTGTAATCCTAGCACTCTGGGAGGCTAAGGTGGGAGGATCAGCTTGAGCTCAGGAGTTCCAGACGAGCCTGAGCAGGAATGAGACCCTGTCTCTACTCAAAATAGAAAAAATTAGCTGGGTGTGGTGGCACGCGCTTGTAGTCCCAGCTACTCAGGAGGCTGAGGCAGGAGGATTACTGGAGCCCAGGAGTGTGAGGTTGCTGTGAGCCAGGCTGACCCCATGGCACTCTAGCCCAGGCAACAGAGTGAGACTCTGTCTCAAACAAAACAACACAAAACAAAAAAACACTGTGAGCCAAGCAAAACATGTCTGCAAGCTGGCTGTGGTTCACGGTGTGCCAATTTGCAAACTCTAGCCTCAGGCTTTAGCATTAACTATAATAATAAACAGCAAACACTTACCTAGTTCTTACTATGTGCCTGGCACTGTTCTTAGCACTTCATATGTACTATCTCATTTAATTTCTACAACCCATGGCTGATCACGGTGGCTCACGCCTGTAATCCTAGCACTCTGGGAGGCCGAGGCAGGAGGATAACTTGAGCTCAGGAATTTGAGACCAGTCTGAGCAAGAGCAAGACCTTGTCTCTACTAAAAAAATAGAAACATTTGGCAGGTGTCATGGTGTGTGCCTGTAGTCCCAGCTACTCAGGAGGCTGAGGCTGGAGGATTGCTTGAGCCCAGGAGTTGGAGGTTGCAGTGAGCTATGATGATGCCACCGCACTCTACCCAGGGCAACAGAGCAAGACTCTGTCAAAAAAAAAAAAAAAAAATTCCACAACAACCCCATTAGGCAGGTGGGTGCTATTATCAATCCCCATTTCCACACAGGAAATGAGGCACAGAGAGAAGTAACTTCCACGGCTAAATTTGACTGGCTTTAAAAAAGAAATGTAAACCAATCACCGATGGGGATGAGTAGGCAACCGTGGGGCAAAGTGGTCCAAAAGGAGCATACTCCTGGCAGGATGGCTACTAAGTACCTCAGAGGTTCAAAGGCAAATCAGCTGCGTGGGATCTGTATCAAGGTGGGTGGTGCGGTCAGGGAGAATAAACTGGATGAAAGGTGGGCCCATCCCAAGGAAGGTGGCTACTCCCCAGCAGGCACAAAAGGTGCTAGTGTCACCCAGGAGAACTTTGAGAAGAGATGTGCCTGTGAGGGAGGCGCTGGGGAAGGAAGCTGATTAGGAAGCTGGTAAGTGATTCTCAAGCTGATAAGCTGCAGGTGTGGGAGGATAACACCAGCTAACGGTCCCAGCAGTGGTATCACAGGAAGTAGGACTGAGGGAAGTCCCAGGGTGAGGAATCAACAGGCACAGACCTGGTTCCTCCCTGCTTATGGCCAGCTGTGGGACCCTGGACAGGCCTCCACCCCCTCACAGGCAGGCCAGTGGGAAATTGTGAGATCATGGAGGGTGTGCCCTCTGTATCCTGCCAAGTACCCGCCCCAGGATGAGCTGTGATTCTTGTCATCAGGAACCCCAGATCCAAGCATATCAGAGCAAGACACACATGAGCAATGGCTCCAACTAGCCTGCTGATTGGACAGATGTGGAAACCAAGGCCACGCCTCTAGGGCAGTAGCTCTCCCAAGGGCACTCAGCAGAGGAAGGATATAGAATGAACTAGGACCCAGGATCACTGGACTTAAGTTAGTCCAGGGTTTCCCCACCATCATCACAGGAAGAAGGAGAAAGGCTGGAGGGGGACACTTTTGGGAACATGCTCCTGTAGGGGCAAATATCAGAGGCAGCTAATGTGGGAGTCATAGTACAACAGGTGATCTGGGTTAGTCCCTGCCCCTTTCTGTGCCACAGCCTCTGTATGTGAAAGATACATCTCCTGAGAAGGATGAGCGCACAGAATAGCCTAATTTATTGTATCGTTTCCTGTGGTTTGACTACGATATCCCCTTCCAGAGGCTGGAAGGGTAGGTTCTAGGGGCAGGACTGGTCCTGGCCCTAGCAGGGGAGAGCAAGGCTGGGCCAGGCTGTGGGAGAAACCAGGACTAAGCCTGGCCCAGATCCCTGTCTGTGGAAAACACCTGCTGACACCTGCCATGGCCCAATTTCCCAAAATACTCAGCCTGTTTTCCTACCTCCACTGGCCAGGCTCTGCAACTTCCTTCTCCTTTCCCCAGCCCCAGAGCAATCTAATGGATCCCACAAGAACCAGGGATGGGGAAAGATCCAGATTCTGAAACCCAGATGGCCAGAGTTATAATAATATTACACAAATTGTATTCAGCTGTCACTAAGTACCAGGCCCTGTGCTCAGGACCTTTATGTGCCCCATCTTTCTATCACTCTATGAAGTAGGTATCACTACTATGGCCACTTTACAGATGAGAAAACTGAGGATCAGAGATGTTAAGACACCTGCCCAAGGTCCCAAAGCAATTAAGTGGCAAGATTTGAACTTAAGCAGTCTGGTTCTAGAGTCCAAATTTATACATTCCTAGAAGAGGGTCATCAGCTCAAATGTCTGCAAAGGCCAGGTAGGTCATATGGATGCCAAGTTGGCTGGGTGGGGCTGGCGATCAAGAGACCCCATGACCTGTCCAAAGGAAGCAACCATGACTCAACTCTAGCTGACAGCTGTCACGCAGGAATGTTGGCCTAGTGTGACCAGATCTTCCAAGTTTTCAAAAGGATCTGGAAATAGGGATATATGAATTCTCTTGTTTTAAAAGATAGCAACTTGTTCAGTTTTTTAAAAAACGCACTGCAAGGCTGTGCGCGGTGGCTCACACCTGTAATCCTAGCACTCTGGGAGGCTAAGGTGGGAGGATCAGCTTGAGCTCAGGAGTTCCAGACGAGCCTGAGCAGGAATGAGACCCTGTCTCTACTCAAAATAGAAAAAATTAGCTGGGTGTGGTGGCACGCGCTTGTAGTCCCAGCTACTCAGGAGGCTGAGGCAGGAGGATTACTGGAGCCCAGGAGTGTGAGGTTGCTGTGAGCCAGGCTGACCCCATGGCACTCTAGCCCAGGCAACAGAGTGAGACTCTGTCTCAAACAAAACAACACAAAACAAAAAAACACTGTGAGCCAAGCAAAACATGTCTGCAAGCTGGCTGTGGTTCACGGTGTGCCAATTTGCAAACTCTAGCCTCAGGCTTTAGCATTAACTATAATAATAAACAGCAAACACTTACCTAGTTCTTACTATGTGCCTGGCACTGTTCTTAGCACTTCATATGTACTATCTCATTTAATTTCTACAACCCATGGCTGATCACGGTGGCTCACGCCTGTAATCCTAGCACTCTGGGAGGCCGAGGCAGGAGGATAACTTGAGCTCAGGAATTTGAGACCAGTCTGAGCAAGAGCAAGAAAAAAATAGAAACATTTGGCAGGTGTCATGGTGTGTGCCTGTAGTCCCAGCTACTCAGGAGGCTGAGGCTGGAGGATTGCTTGAGCCCAGGAGTTGGAGGTTGCAGTGAGCTATGATGATGCCACCGCACTCTACCCAGGGCAACAGAGCAAGACTCTGTCTAAAAAAAAAAAAAAAAAATTCCACAACAACCCCATTAGGCAGGTGGGTGCTATTATCAATCCCCATTTCCACACAGGAAATGAGGCACAGAGAGAAGTAACTTCCACGGCTAAATTTGACTGGCTTTAAAAAAGAAATTTAAAAAAGAAGTACGTAAATTGCTTAAGACTACACAGCTTGTAGAGCTGAGAATGAACCCAGACAGCATAGCTCCAGAATCTGTGCTTACCAGCCCCCGCGCTGCAACAAGGTAAAACTGTCAAACATTTCATCCCGCCCTCTTGATAGCCAGGTAGGGAAACCAAGGCCAGAACAGGACAGAGCTTTGCCAAGGCTGAGTGCCTTCTTTCTGCCAGCACTGTTCCAGATCCTAGGGATGTATCAGTGATGTATATCAACAGGCAAAAAACCCTCAACTGCTCAGGAGGTTATGGGCACTCAATCCATCCCCTCTTGTCCCCACAGGTGGCCATGGTGGAGGTACAGCTGGAGAGCAACCACAAATACCCGCCAGGCCTGCTGGTGGCCTTTAGTGCCTGCACCACTGTGCTAGTGGCTGTGCACCTCTTTGCACTCATGGTCTCCACGTGTCTGCTGCCCCACATTGAAGCCGTGAGCAACATCCACAACCTCAACTCTGTCCACCAGTCGCCACACCAGAGACTCCACCGCTACGTGGAGCTGGCCTGGGGCTTTTCCACTGCCTTGGGCACCTTTCTCTTCCTCGCTGAAGTTGTCCTGGTTGGCTGGGTCAAGTTTGTGCCCATTGGGGCCCCCTTGGACACACCAGTCCCTGGGGTAACTGCATCCCAGGTGCCTGGAACTCTGCCACCAGTGGCCACCTCCCTTAGTCCAGCTTCCAACCTCCCATCATCCTCTGCTTCTGCAGCTCCGTCACAGGCTGAGCCATCTGAGGCCTGCCCACCCCGGCAGGCATGTGGTGGTGGGGCGGCCCATGGGCCAGGCTGGCAAGCAGCCATGGCCTCCACAGCAATCATGGTACCTGTGGGGCTCGTGTTTGTGGCCTTTGCCCTGCATTTCTACCGCTCCTTGGTGGCACACAAGACAGACCGCCACAAGCAGGAGCTTGAGGAGCTGAGTCGCCTGCAGGGGGAGCTGCAGGCTGTGTGAGGCTGGTGTTAAACTGCTGCAAGCACTGCCTCCTGGGTCTGCAAGAGGCCCCAGTGTCTACAGACCTCATTCCCTGCCCCTGGCTTGAACCACTTCCTGTGGTCACTCAGGTAGAAACCAGTTTCCTGCCTGCAGGGTCCTTGGGGCAGCTCCCACATTCCCAGGAATTTTCCCTGTCGGCCTGTCCCATGGGTTTTATAAGCTCTATGCCTGGGCTGGGAGAAACAAGGGAGGAGGTAGAAGGTCCTCAATCCAAGGATCATGTGGTAGATGGAGGGGAGGCAGGGAGACTCCTGGTGGGACCTTTGGTGCTGACCCTCAGCCACCTTTTCCATTCCTATACGGAATGGTCAGAAGGTTACATGCTCACACAGCTGCCCCAAGAGGCAGTCAACCCTTGCTTTATTTTCGTAGAATCTATTTTATGGTTGGCATTTTTGGGGAAGCTTTTCCCTGTTCCCAGATTTTGGTGGGTTCCACATTCTTGCTTTAGTTGCTGTAGAGGCATTTGGGTATTTCTCCCCCTAGGCATATGTCCAGCTTTTCCTAGGAGAAGCCTCCATGTTTTTGGAGATTTGAGCCCACATCCCACTGTTGGTGACTTGAGGCCACACACAAGAGGGGTGGTGCCTGACCCACTGCCCTAGCCCTACACTTAGGCACCTATATCTGGTTCTCACCCTCCTGGGCCAGGGTTAGGGGTCTTCGGAGACTGAAAGCCTGTGTGCCCAGCCTGAATCCTTAGCAAGGGTTGGAAGAAGAGCTTTGAAGGGAGAAGGTCCAGTCGCCAGCCCTTGGAATACAGAACTCTTCTGACACCGAATTTTTGATGCACCTTGTTTTATATAATAAATTGTGTTTCACAGATGTCCCTGTGGCTGTGAATGGCATAAAGGGGAGGCCTTCTTGAGACAAGGTTATTTGTTTTTAAGAGTCAGTTGGAGGCAAGTGCACCTGGGGGGTGAGGGGAGTGGGTGCCAGGTATGACCCCACCAGGTGCTAACAAGGGCCAATAGCTTCTGAATGTGGAGAGTTATTCTAAGGCTAATAGCTTTGAGCTCAGGGTGTATCTCTTCCACTGTAAGTTTTTCTTGTGTGACTACTACATACTAGAGGCTTTTCAAAGGTTATCTCATTTAACTCTCACAACTATCTCAAACGACAAGTCTTTACCATTTCTATTTCAGAAATAAGGAAGATGAGGCCCAAGAAGGCTGAGGATCTTGCCCAAAGCCACACAGCTAGTCAGTGAAACTGAACTTGGATTATCTTTACCATCACATGGGAATCTCTTTCTCTTTGATTTGAGAAAAGTAACCAGTACCTTTCAACTAGGACAAAAGAAAGGAATCTGATCACATCTTCTATGCCTCCATGTAAATTCATTTTTTCAGCCTCATTTCCTTCAAAATTTTTAAGGGTCTTAATCCTGTCTTCTATTCTTGTGGTGTGAGGCCTTGGACAAGTCTCCCTTCCCCCTTTTCCTATTACTTAATATGGTTAATTTGCATAAACCAGGCTCCAAGGGCCTCTCCTGCACTGTTCTGATGTCTGCAAATTAACATCCATTTTTAGAGGAAGAACCTGGAACTTAAGTCCAAAGTCATACTGGACATAGGGACAGTATGGAGCCTAGGCCATCCTCAGCTCATGGGCCTGTGGGAGTGCTATTCCTCCCCAGAGACCAGGGTGCTTACGTCCACACAGAATAAAAAGCGTGCCCAGCCTTTGGGCGACCTCAGCCCCAAGGTTCCGGATGCAGGCCTGGACTGGTGCTGTCCTTGTGCGGCGGGATTCCATGAGCACGGGGATCCCCAGCTGAACAGAGCAGGCACTGGGACCATGATGCCTGGAGAATAGACCAGCCCACCCCAGTTCCTATAGGACCCAGTTTATTTTTTACAGGACCCCTTTAAAGGACCTGTAGGCCCCACTAGGCTTATTAGAGAACCTTGAGACGGGCTCGGATTTAACCTCTAAGGTAAGTTGAGTACGGCAAAATGGAGCACCTTCTAAAGGCCTCAGTCTCCCCATCTGTCAAATGGGCATCTTCAACAGCTAGAGGCCCATGGGGGATAATGAGAAGAAAATGCTCCTTGCGCTATGTGCTAGGCCAGGCAAACTGCCTGAGTCACCATTCCCGGTAGTATTTTTCCACCTCCCGGTAGCCCCTCCCATCCCACTCCGGTTTCGGTGGGTCCTGCAGGAGGAGCCCCCGCGTCTCCGGGCTCCGCACGCTCTGACCACGCCCCTCTGCGCACTACGCCTTGGCCCCGCCCACAGCGAGATCCGCAGATTCGCCAGCCCAGCTCTTCCTCAGAATTACTTGGGCCCCTCCATACTGGGCTGAAAATTCTCATCGGACTCCAAGAGGAGTTTTAGGCTGTAGCTATTCCCCCGGGTCAGAAGTGGGCTGTTCCCTGAGTTGTGCTACTAAGAAAAAATCCAGAAAAAGCCCTGACTCTGTCAACAGGGCTTGGCTAACCGGGCGTTGTTTTCTCGACTTCAAGGCGGATGAAGAGAGGCAACGGCTGAGGCCAGGACCTAGCGAATCTGCAGCTTCTTAGACCTTTGGCCGCACAAGGAAGGGGCAGGGAAGAGGAGCAAAGGAGCACGCATCCTGTCCACCGATTCGCCCCGCCCGCTCGCCGAATCTGCGTCTGCTCAACGCACCACTCAAACCTTCCCAGCTCTGGCTGGCCTCCTCCCCTTCGCCCCGCCCCCTTTTCCTCAGGGACTAGTTGCAGCTTTCATCGCCGCCGATTCGTCACGAACTCTAGGCCAGAGCAACTGGATCGTGGTGGTGAAGCCCACTCTCCGGGGGATGCGGCCAATCTACAGGCTCCCTGGGCCGCAACTCTCGAGGCTTACAGGGCGCCGGCCAAGACGAGGCCGCTACCCTCGGCCGCGTGGTTCTCCTGGCGGCGCCTGTGGCGAAAGTGCGAATGCAGACGCTGTGCCCGCTAGGCCTCGCGCAGGTGGCGGTGGTGTTTGGTGCGCGCGCCGGGGAGGTGGTGGTGGGGGGGGCGCCGCCGCCGCCACCGCTGCGGGGCCGGGTCTCGCGCTGCCGCCGCCGCCGCCGCCGCCGCCGCCTCGCGCCGCTGAGGTGCCGCGCGGGGTGGGGGGAGGGGGAGCCGCTCGCCACGAGCGGGTGAGTGGGGCTGCGGCGCGCGTGCGCGGAGATGGGGGGGGCAGAACGCGCCGGGGCGGGAGGAGAGGGCAGCGGCGCGCATTCACCCACCCCCCCCGCCCGGATTCGGGGCCGAAGCCGGGTCTCGGGCTGGGTCTCGCGGTGTTTCCAACGCCCCAAAGAGGTGCCACCTTTCGGCCGAAGGATCAGGGCGCGGGGACGGGCGCGGGTGTGTGCAAGCGAGAGCCGGGCTTGGCCCGGGCCGCTGGCCGGTGAGGAGGCGGGAGGGGGCGGGGCCTGCCAGGGGGCGGGGGAGGGGTCTTGCGCCGAGGCCAAGTGGGGCGCGCGCTAGGGAGAGCGGGAAGGTAAGGGGGCGCGAGATGGGCCTGGGGGCCTGAGGGGAGAGTTGGGGAGGTGGAGAGAGAATAGGTTGTTGTGATGAAACAGAGAGTACTTGGGGCAAAATTTTGGGGAGCCACGGGTCATGGTGAGGTGTGGAAACTGGAGTGGTGAGAGAACCTGGAATCTGGGCTAGCCAATGAGGGACAGCAAGGGAGTCAGGCCTAAGTCCTGAGCCCCCTTGCCTGTCCCTCTTTTCCTAACAGTGTAAATGAGCAAAGATGGATCAGGAAGGTGGGGGAGATGGGCAGAAGGCCCCGAGCTTCCAGTGGCGAAACTACAAGCTCATCGTGGATCCTGCCTTGGACCCTGCCCTGCGCAGGCCTTCTCAGAAGGTGTACCGCTACGATGGAGTCCACTTCAGTGTCAACGTGAGTGTCCCAGACCTTTGCTTGACATCTAGGGAACTCCAGGCCCCTCTGTCATCTGTTACTCTGTTCAGCACCTAGAACTCCCACACCTATAGCCTGCCTTTTCGAAAATGAGCAATTGATCCCAGCTCTTATGCATGTAGGTCTCCAAATGGGCTTCTTGGAACTCAACAGCTTGGTTTCACCCTGAGCTATCTTTCTGTCTCTGCTTTCCTTCCTAGGACTCAAAGTATATACCAGTCGAAGACCTCCAAGACCCCCGTTGCCATGTCAGGTCAAAAAACAGAGATTTTTCCCTCCCAGTCCCTAAGTTTAAGGTAGGTGTCTGCCGGTCTTCTGGTGTGGTGGCTCTTGGAGGGTGTGGAGGATCCATCCTGGCACTATAGTCTGATAAAAGGGATTTTCCATTGAAAGGGTCACAGCCAGGTCTAACAACCTCTGAGGCTGTGAGACTGAGTTGTTCTGGACAGGAGGTACACTTTTTCTTCTAGACTGGTATAAGTGAGGTGCACCAGGTGTACCCTTCGTGGTAGGGGTATTGACTTCTTGAAGGGTGAGGTAAAGACACAGGTAGCTGAATGTACCTATCACGGTGTATACCTATAAAGTGTACAGCGCAACAGTTCCTCAACAATTAAGGGGAATGACAAGGTCACTGCCTCCCTGGAGACCTCTGTTCCTCACCTCTCTTTTGGTGATGTCATTCTCCATCTTGTTTCCTCAGATGATTCCCATTTCCTAGCCTAAGCAGCATACTCCTCAGACCTTGAACTGGGTCTAGAAAATGGATAGTTCTTAGTTTCTTTCGTTAATTCTTTATTCTTCCTTTCTAAGTAATTTACGGGGTCCCTTCCCCCTTTTATTACTTTGTATACTTTCCTTGGATAATGTCTTTGACACATAGCTTCACCTATGATCTAAATGTTGATGATTTCCAAGTATCTGTTTCCAGCCAGCATCAGTCTCTTGAACTCCAGACTTCTGTGCCTGGTAGAGGGACAGCTCCATCTGGAGGCCCCACAGACGTCTCAAACTCAAGAGATTTAGAATAAATTGTCTCTGCCTCCTTAATCTTGCACTTCCTTTCATTTTCCCTCTATTGATAAGTGGCAACACTACCTACTCAGATGTACAGGCTAGAAACCTGGAAGTCATCCTGCGAGTCTCCTCTCCCTTTTCTTTCCTATAGTCTGTCACCTATTTCCTTTTTATCGTAATCTTCCTATTCCCATCGCCATTTCCTTAATGCAGACCCTGGCATTCATTTCACCTGGTTTCTTTGCCATCATTCTCTCCTCTGCTTCATGCTCCACCCTGTTGTTATTTGTCTCTCTGACTTTACTGGTCTTTTATTTTACTTTTGTTGCTGAGTCCATGTTGTGGGGCACTGGCATGTGTGGTTATTGATCTGTCCAAGCCTTTTCCTCTGCCTTGACACCACACCCATGTGTTACATCCATACCATATGCTTTGCAGTTTACAGAAAACGCCAAGTTGTTTTATACTTCCATGTCCTAGAATTCCTTGTCATTTTGGTGAACTCCTGTTAATCTCAAAAGCCCAGTTAGAATGACAACATCTTTATGAATCCTTCCCTGATTCTACTCTGTGCAAACGTTTCTTTCTCTGGGCCCCCAAACACCCTGTCTATACCTCTGCTTACGCTGTGTCATGACATGATTGCATGTGTCTGTCTTGTTTACTTTTCTGAATGGGAATCTCTTTTTTTCCATCTTTGTATTTCCAGCACCCAGTCCATGGTAGTTACCAATTAAAAGCTGAGCTAGTGAATTATGTCCCTATAACCAGTTCCTTCTTTGTGTGTGTGTGTTTTTTTTTTTTTTCGGAGACAGAGTCTTGTCTCCCGGGCTAGAGTGCAGTGGCATCATCATGCTCACCACAACTTCAAACTCGTGGGCTCAAGCAGTTCTTCTGCCTCAGCCTCCTGAGTAACTGGGACTATAGATATGCGCCAGCATGCCCAGCTTATTTTTTCTATTTTTAGTAGAGATGGGGTCTTGGTCTTGGTCAGGCTGGTCTCTAACTCCTGAGCTCAAGCCATCCACCTACCTCAGCCTCCCAGGGTGCTAGGATTACAGGCGTGAGCCACCATGCCTGGCTCTTCCATATGTGTTTATTCCTCTGGTTGTATATTTCTGTTCCCAGTCATTGCCGTTACTCTGTGGTGAGAAGAATTGAAGGAAAAGAGGGTTCAGGACTGATGTATCCCTTATTGTAGCCTCCTTCTCTTGCCCCTCAATTTCCTAGATCTCTCTCTTGACCTCATGGAACTTGCTAATGTTTCCCAGAGAGCAAAGGAACAGTGGTCAGTATTGAGATCCCAGACCAACTCCTGTCCTTTCCACAGCTGGATGAATTCTATATCGGACAAATCCCACTGAAGGAAGTGACTTTCGCAAGGCTGAATGACAACGTGCGGGAGACCTTCCTGAAGGATATGTGCCGAAAGTATGGTGAGGTGGAAGAGGTAGAGATCCTTCTTCACCCCCGTACTCGCAAGCACTTGGGCCTGGCCCGTGTGCTCTTCACCAGCACTCGGGGTGCCAAGGAAACAGTCAAAAACCTCCACCTTACCTCCGTCATGGGCAATATCATCCACGCCCAGCTCGACATCAAAGGTAAGGGTTCCCTTGCCTGATGCTCAAGGTTGTTCTCCAGCAGAGAACACACAAATGCCCGTTGGGGTCAGGGGCAGGTGACCAGGTTCATAATTCCTTAATCTGAAATTGTTGGGGTAAGCCGTATTTCTGAAATCAGAATTTTTCAAATTTTAGAGAGGAATTATGGTGCATAGATTTTGTGTGTGTGTGTGATCTCTAGCAGGATCAGGGAACACCCCATAATTTAGCATATGACTGTATCTATGAAAAATTGTATGAAGAATCATACTAGGTAGAATGAATAAAGACTATAGTAAATGAGCTCAGGTTAGGTTTTGAGACCAAGTTCTCAGAAATACTGAGTTTTCAGTTTTCTGGGTTTTGAAATTTTAGATAGACAATTAGAGACCTGTAAAGACAAGAGAAGCAGTCTGGGCTTCTTTGTTAAGGAGCAATAGGGAGGAGTGGGATCTGTGGAGAACTGTAGATTACAGCGCCATCTGAAGAAGGCAGCTGTTAGTGGATATTAGCCACTGATATCCCATTGCAAGTGGGAATGAGGACTAACATTCCCGAATTTGATTTTTAGAAGAAAAGAGAGAAATGTAGATTATTAACATGAAATCTCGTGGTTTTTAAGTATTACACTCCCTGAGATTTTTTGTTATACAGGGTGAGTAAAACACACCTGCGGGCTGGGTTCAGTCCTCAGGCTGCCATTCTGCACCCTTCCTTTTACAGGGTAAGAACATAGGTGGATCTAGCATCAGACCACCTGGGTTTGAATTCTAGCCCTTCCACAGACCAATCTTGTGACTTTGTGTAGGCCACTTTTCTTTAAGCCCGTGAAATAGAGATACTGATACTTCTTTCTCCTGGTGATCACCTAACATAGTAAAATACACTGAAGTGTTTTTGTAAATTGTGAAGTGTTGTAAATTTTGTTGTTTGTAGTAGTTAAGAGTTAGAGATGAGGTAGGAGAACTGAAATCCTAAGACCCAAGACTCCAAGGAATTTGTAGGAAACTTGAGGCCTGAGAAAGAAATGAGGAAGAAATTATTTTCTCCATCTGACTATTGGTTCCCTCCCTCCAGGACAACAACGAATGAAGTACTATGAACTAATTGTCAACGGCTCCTACACCCCTCAGACTGTACCCACCGGGGGCAAGGCCCTGAGTGAGAAGTTCCAGGGCTCTGGTGCAGCCACTGAGACGGTGAGAAGCTTGTGGCTGCCACAGCCCTAGCCATGTGGTCATGGTGCCTGGGTGCCAGGAGCAGGAGCAGTCTTTGGGCGGTTCCAGACTTCATTGTTAAGTACATAAAGAGTTAAGAAAAGATGCCTAGATGCATTCAAAAGACAGGGAAGTAGGATTCTTGGTTTGGGGAAGGGCAGGTTTTCTAATGGTTCTTGATCTCTTTTCCTTTCTCCTGGCCCCACTCTCTCCCTCCAGACTGAATCCCGCCGCCGCTCGTCCTCTGACACGGCTGCCTACCCGGCAGGCACTGCTGTGGTGGGCACCCCTGGCAATGGCACCCCCTGTTCCCAGGACACAAGCTTCTCCAGCAGCCGACAAGATACCCCATCTTCCTTTGGCCAGTTCACCCCTCAGTCCTCCCAAGGAACCCCCTACACGTCACGGGGCAGCACCCCCTACTCTCAGGACTCTGCCTACTCCAGCAGGTACAGAGCATGCACCATCTGGTTCCCCAGCCGTCAGAGTCTGGGAGCTGCTACTGGGAAGAAGCAGCCCAAAGTCTCTCCAAGAGGGAGTTGGAAATAATTTGTCCTAGTTTCTCTGTGGATTCCACCACCCAGTTGCTGTCCTCAGGGAATTCACTAGCTAGGAACCCAACATTTAGATCTCTTGGGGGCAGTGTGGAGGGGCTTTGGGTGCTGTGCTGAGGACATTTGGGTTTGGTCAAATAGAGATGAGCCCAGCTAATTGCCTCACTTCTTCTCCAGCACCACTTCAACCTCCTTTAAGCCCCGGCGGTCAGAGAACAGCTACCAAGATTCCTTTTCCCGCCGCCATTTCTCTGCATCTTCGGCCTCCACAACCGCCTCTACCGCCATCTCAGCCACCACTGCAGCCACCTCCGCATCTTCCTCCTCTTCCTCCTCGTCCTCGTCCTCCTCATCGTCCTCTTCCTCATCATCCTCTCAATTTCGTGGTTCTGACTCAAACTACCCAGCATATTATGAAAGCTGGAATCGCTACCAGCGCCATACTTCCTACCCACCCCGCCGGGCAACTCGAGAGGAGCCCCCCAGTGCCCCTTTTGCCGAAAACACGGCCGAGCGTTTCCCACCTTCCTATACCTCCTACTTGCCCCCTGAGCCCAGCCGGCCCGCTGACCAGGACTACCGGCCTCCTGCCTCAGAGGCTCCACCCCCAGAACCTCCAGAACCCGGTGGAGGCGGGGGCAGCGGAGGGCCCAGCCCTGAGAGAGAAGAAGCTCGGACCTCTCCCCGCCCAACCTCACCTGCCCGTTCTGGCTCCCCAGCCCCAGAGACCACCAATGAGAGTGTGCCCTTTGCTCAGCACAGCAGCCTGGATTCCCGCATCGAAATGCTGCTGAAGGAGCAGCGCTCCAAGTTTTCTTTCCTGGCCTCTGACACAGAGGAGGAGGAAGAGAACAATAGTACAGGCCCTGGGGCTAGAGATACAGGGATCGAGGTGCCTTCTGGGTCAGGTCATGGGCCCTGCACACCCCCTCCGGCCCCAGCTAATTTCGAGGATGTGGCACCTGCAGGGAGTGTGGAGCCAGGAGCTACCCGGGAGTCTCCTAAGGCCAACGGACAGAACCAGGTGAGGTTGGGGTCATCCAGAGGAGCCACCTGGGCTCTGGGAGGCAGGGTTGGGCCCTGGGGAAGAGGAAAGGGAACCAGACAAGAAAAATGGGCTTTGAGAAAAAGCCCAGGGAGCAGGCAGAAGCTTTCTGTGACTGTCTTCTGCATTCCTACAGGCTTCTCCATGCTCTTCTGGAGAAGACATGGAGATCTCCGATGATGACAGGGGTGGCTCACCCCCTCCGGCTCCAACACCCCCACAGCAGCCTCCACCTCCTCCTCCTCCCCCTCCTCCTCCCCCACCCTACCTGGCTTCCCTTCCCCTTGCTTATCCTCCCCACCAAACTGCCTACCTCCT